AAATGGCAACCCACTCTAGTACTCTTGCCTGGAAAACCCCATGAACAGAGGAGCCTGAGAATCTATAGTCCATGGGGTCGCAGAGTCGGACACAACTTAGCGACTGAACAACAACAATAATCTATAAATGACACAGTGGGCCTGCTGAGATAGACGGGCTCTCCAGATCTCCAGCTGGAATGCCACAGCTGGTGGAGCCGGTGTGTTCAGTGACCTCACCACTGGCGGTGCATAGTGTGTGTCACACCTACACACTTCTACAACTGGGCCCCCTACTTTATTTACCAGCAGCCCTGTCTTTTCCTGGGTCCCCCTACTCTTGCCATTCTTCCAATTCACCAACCACTATCATTATGCTGCCCTTGATTTGCTGGCTGCCTCTCTCCGCCTGTCTTAACCATTATCTTTGAATCACATGCTTTCTGCCTTTCTACTCCTGCTGCTACAAATCAGAAACTCACATCTGGAGCCTTGCTAGTCTTCTAATCCTCACTTTCTACCTCTCTAAATAATTAAAGTCAGATTAATTTTCCTAAAGTGCATCTGTACTTTCCCTCAAGCAACAACTTGAGTCTTGGCTTTTTCGTAAAACGGTCCAAGATTCTAACACATATCCACCTTCCTCTTCCTGAATCAATTAAAATGCATACTGCTCAATTTGTCCAATCAGAAAAAAAGAGACAGTGAGCAAAATGCTTTAGTAGTACAAGCCCTGGGACTGAGTAAAAGGTTATCTGTGATATACTCTATGTCCATGAGCAATAAGAACTGACATTAATAGAATGCTTATTACATCCCAGGTTTTACAAGAATTACTTTCAGTCCTCCAACAATTTGATAAAGTATGTACCATCTTCTCTCCATTTTACAGATAAGAAAACTGAGGTAAGAAGGTTAAGTAATCCGCTCAGAGCCTCACTGGATCCAAATCCAAACAGGCTAGCTCCTGAGGTAGTGTTCTTAATCAAAACTCTATACTGCTTCTCAAGTAGCAAGTCAGTTAAATTTAATTCTTCCCAAATCTTAAAAAATGGCACAAAAAGTGCCTGCTTTAATAGCTAAAAGGAAAAAAACCCATAATATATGAAAAACACTTTGTAATTTACACTATTAAATGAACTAATGTTTTCACATCAATTATCTTTCTTTATATTTTGGGATATTTATTATTTTTCCATACACTAATTATTTCATGCTTATAATTAAAGCTCTGTACCTATTCAGGAATTTCTTTGTAAGGAGAAACAGGGTTTATTTATGTCCTTTTCTGCCTTGGAAAATTCTAGAAAGATCTATTTAATATGCATTGCTAATTGGTTGACACTTTTGGAACTTGTAGGAATACAAATTGATACAAATAAAAGCTACATTAGATTAAAAGTAATATTTTAATTTTCTATTATTGTCTTTTTTTTCCTATGAACCAAATTCAGTTTCCTCAGAATCTACCATGAGTCTGATTCTTTGGGTTAATGAAAGAGAACAGGATACAAAGGGAAATGAGTTCTGTCTTGCCTCTCAAGGGAATTAACCAGAGAGCGATTGATTTTATATACTTTGGTTTCTACTAATGGAAAGTAACTTCAGGAAAGTCAGATATCTAGTGAACTCCTTTCTACCCTTTCCCATTTCTTTTCTGCCCTATTCTTGATAAATCTTGATTGCAGTTCTAGATATATTTAGTTGGATTACTAGTGAGAGACAGATTCATGAATGGGTTGGGAGAGACAAAATATTGAACCAATCTTAACTGAACTAAATATAAAAGAAAAAGCTTTCTGCTCAAAGTTTGAATTCAGAACTAATGGACTAAAATGAGTGCTCTTAGTAAAATAAAAAGCATTCCAGCATACTTGGATGTTTTAACAGTGACAGAGTTTCATTCAAATGAGTAGCACTTTGAGATATTGTATTTAAGTTCAAAATTTCATTGTGCCCCTTGGTAAAGAAACCGCCTGCCAATACAGGAGATGTAAAAGACATGGATTTGATCCCAGGGTCAGGAAGATCCCCTGGGAAAGGGCGTGGCAATGCACTCCAGTATCCTTGCCTGGAGAATCCCATGGACAGGGAGTCGGATACAACTTGGCGACTGAACTTGTAGTTTAGGTATGTAGTTTATGACGAAATTAGTTCCTTAAGTTACTATACAATGTTAATAAACATTTTCACATATGAACATACTCTAAGAGATGAAACACTACATGGGTTATCCATTTTAAATACTTAGTATAATTTGCTGCTGCTGTTCAGTCGCTGAGTCCTGTATGACCCCATGGACTGCAGCATGCCAGGCGTCCCTGGCCTTCCCTATCTCCAGGAGTTTTCTCAAACTTAGGACAATACTTTTTAAAAACTCCTTACTAATGATACCACATTTATCACTAGACAGTACTTTTTCTTTTAGTTCAGTATCTAACACCTGCACATCACATGATAGCTTCATTTTTCTTTTAATTTATGGAAGATACTGCACTTGCATTTACCACCACCACCATCCCCCCCAAACAAACAACAACAACAACAAAAAAAACTGGGGCATGCACCACCTAATTCCTGACTACATGTGGTTTCAAACAGGTCAAAGTAAGTTTCAGTATATAAAATACTAAACATTTGGGAATGATCTGTAGGTAATTTTGTGAGTATGCTGTAATGAAAACAGATGCATTTCAGAAGAAAACTGCTGACATTGCAAGGGTTTTTAAACCTTCAGTTCTTCAGTTAAGAAACAGCACACCTGTGAACATGACTATACTACCAGATGCAATCTACAGATTCAATGCAATCCCTATCAAATTACCAATGGCATTTTTCACAGAACNCCAAAATATGCAAGCAGCTCATACAACTAAACACCAGGAAAACAAACAACCCAATCAAAAAGTGGGAAAAAGACCTAAACAGACATTTCTCCAAAGAATACATACACATGGCTAACAAACACATGAAAAGATGCTCAACATTACTCATTATTAGAGAAATGCAAATCAAAACTACAATGAGATATCACCTCACACTGGTCAGAATGGCCATCATCAAAAAGTCTACAAACAGTAAGTACTAGAGAGGGTGTGGAGAAAAGGGAACACTCTTGCACTATTGGTGGGAATGTAAATTGATACAGCCACTATGGAAGACAGTACGGAGATTCCTTAAAAAACTAGGAATAAAACTACCATATGACCCAGCAATCCCACTCCTAGGCATATACCCCGAAGAAACCAAAATTGAAAAAGACACATGTATCCCATTGTTCACTGCAGTACTATTTACAATAGCTAGAATATGGAAGCAACCTAGATGTTCATTGACAGATGAATGGATAAAGTTGTGGTACATATACACTATGGAATTTTACTCAGCCATAAAAAGGAACACATTTGAGTCAGTTCTAATGAGGTGGATGAACCTAGAGCCTACACAGAGTGCTGTAAGTCAGAAAAAGATACATATTGTATATTAATGCATATATACAGAATCTAGAAACAAGGTAATGAAGAATTTATTTGAAGGACAGCAATGGAAAAACAGACATAGAGAATAGATTTATGGACATGGGGAGAGTGGAGGAGAGGGTGAAATGTATGAAGAGAGTAACATGTAAACTTACAATACCATATGTAAAATAGATAGCCAACAGCAATTTGCTGTATGTCTCAGAAACTCAAGCGTGGGCTCTGTAGCAACCTAGAGGGGTGGGATGGTGAGAGAGATGGGCAGGAGGAAAAAAAAGAAACATTACCCCTAACTGACATCATAAGGCAATTTTGTACAAAGGAAAAATAACTGTGGTATTTTGTACATGGATTTTTTTTTTCTAACTTCAAGTCCTTTGAATCTAGAGTACCACAGTAAAATAAATACGTTTTGTAGTAACACACAGAAATATCCAAAATGATAAATGGGGTAGAATCTAAGGAAACTGAGGCCCAGATGAGCTGATGTCACTTGTGCAAGGATACACAATTTCATTAGCATAGCAGGACTAGAACCCAGTCTGCTGCTTATTTAGCAAGCTCTTTCAGAGTCAGTCCTTTCCTGGAATAAGCAGCGGACTTGCCAGCCTTTTAAAAGTAACTGATTTTATAACCTGAGGGGAGGGAGACTTTGTGGTGTGATAAAAGAAAGACTGTTTTCTAAAGGAGACTCACACTCTACCACTTGGATTCTATCCATGGTAGCTCAGACTGTGAAGTGTCTGCCTACAATGCGGGAAACCCGGTTTCGATCCCTGGGTCCGGAAGATCCTCTGGAGAAAGAAATGGCAACCCATTCCAGAACTCTAGCCTGGAAAATCCCCTGGATGGAGGAGCGTGGTAGGCTACAGTCAATGGGGTCGCAAAGACTCGGACACGACCAAGCGACAAAATAAATGAATGACAACGCCGCCGCGATGCAGCATTTAAAAAAATTTTTTTTAACAACAAAACCATTTGTATTGGGGTATAGCCCATTAACAATGATTAACAATGTTTTGACAGTTTCAGGTGAACACGATGCAGCACTTTTAGAAGCAAATGCAAACTGCGAATATGCTTTTAACTACTGACTTCTATGTATACCATACGGTTAAACTTGTGGAACTTTGTCCGGGGTCGTTTAGCTTCTAAAAGGTTAATTTTCGGCCTCTGTTGCACAAAATTAGGGATTCCACATTCCGGCGTCTACACTTCATACCAGAACAGCACTCATCTCTCTATAGTTCACTTGTGACAAAAACACCTTATCCAGTTTTCTCCTGCTGTCTCCATCCTCTCTCAACATTTCCCCTTAGTAATTTCTGTCACTAAAGCCTTCCATTCCGCTATGAAGCGCGCTCGTCCACCTTCTTCCCATCTTCAGGGAGCTTCTTGCTTTCTTCCACCGTCCGCTCTCTTTAGTTCTTTCCTGCTTCCAATACCACCGGCTAGCAACACTGCAGAAACATACTGCGCACGCGCACTAAGTTCGCCGTCGCTTTGCATCTCGGGAATGCGTGGCTGGTTTGTTTCAGTCTCTGATTCGTGGAGGCCGCCCTGCGGTAGTTCTCGCGGTATTTGCTGCCGCCAGTCGGCGGGAGAGGCTGCAGTTTCCTGGAGGTCCTTTTTAGCTCATTTGGTCGCCCGGGCTGTTGTGTTTCCAGTTGCCAGGTCGCGTATCATGACGTCCGCCTTAGAGAATTACATCAACCGTATCCTTCAGCCGGCTGCAGCGGGCGGCGGGCATTAGCCAAGGCCTTGGTGAGGCCCACGTCTGCACCAGAGTGGACCAGTGCTGGAAAGGCCAGTGGACGGGATCGGCGGGCAGTTGGGGCACCGGGCCACTGACGGGCTTGGGGCCCGGGGTGGGGATACAGGGGTTAGGGATCTGGGACCCACCCGGCTCGCCCCTGGGACTGGAAGCGGGCCCAAGGCGTCTTTTAACTTGAGGAAAAAACCGAGCAAAACCGACATGATTATTCCGAACTTTTCCGTGTCTCTATAGAAATCAGTTATTGATTCACCCTTTCCATTTCCCTCGGGCCTATACGTTCACGTTTGGGCATAAGATAAACAGTTTTACCAGCTGTGACGGTGGATTCGTAAATCTCTGTGTTTGTTTTATTCATAGGCTTTTGCTCAGTCTTCGAGGATAGCAAAAACTTTACAGATGATGCAAAAATTGAATATCTGCCCCTTTACCAGTTGAAATCGCAACTTTATTGTTGATGGAATTAAAATAATGCTTGCTGTTGTAATAGATCGCCTTGTGGGGCAAATAACTTTAAAAAAGTCCCTGTAATAGTACTCTATGCACCATTTTAAAATCTCGAGACAGAAACATTACGTTGTGCTCTTATGTACAAATTTGGGACAGAAGTGGAATGCTAAAGGTTTTTCTTTTTACATGATGCAAGCATATTGGTACTTGTGACATTGATTATAGTTTCTTTTGAGTTCCAGAAGGCAGGTCCTTGAAGACAGTGTCTTAATGTACATTAAATCATTTGACATTGAATAGTTTAGCTCTGATCCAATTTTCATTTCAGAAATGAAGAAACAGGTTTAAGAAAAGGAAAAATATCTTGCTCAATTTTTATATTTTCAATATTCCCCCATTAAAAATGAGTACCAAACATCCCAGCTGTTTTAAGATAGAATACACTGTTCTCATAAAAAGGATGTTCTTTTTCTCTTTTTCCTTTTTTTAAATTGTGTAGTTGTCACAGAGAATTGAAGAACATACAGTTTTATGTTGTAAATGTGGCTGTGTTAAATAGTTGTATCTTAATTCTGTCACATTTTTTTCCTAGTAATTTAAACCATTTCCTTACCAGATTTTAAGTTTTCAGTTTGCATTCCCTTAGAAATGCTTTCCTTGATTCAGTTATCAGGAACTGTTGCTGTCATTACTTCTGACGGGAGAATGATTGTGGTAAGTATTGGGCATATTCATTCTCTGCTTTCTTTTAGCCTTTTCTGCCCGCGGTGCTCAGTTATCCCAGACTCGTGGTGACCTCATGAAGTGTAGCCCGCCAGGCTCCGCTGTCCATGAACTTTTCCAGGCAAGAATACTGGAATGGGTTGCCATTTCCTACTCCAGAGCATTGTCCCAACTCAGAGATCAAACCTGGATCTCCTGCATCTCTTGCATTGGCAGGTGGATTCTTTACTGCGGTGCCGTCTGGGAAGCCCACTCTTGTAGGCTTATTGGTTGTAAATTTTTATGTACAACCTCTGATCTCCAGTGCCTAGGCACCAGAGTACACCTGCATTGCAGTTTTCTTATGATTCAACTCTTTATCTCTCTGATAAATAGCTGCCAGTCCGTTTTGTTGTTGTTGTTGTTTTTTCATTGATAAACATTGACTGAGTTACACACAAGGCTTCTAGAAGCTTGGATGAATAACAGAATCTGCTCTCAGAGAACTTCTGGTCTAGTCTGCAGATACCTGTCTATATTTTGTATTTATCTTCCTTCATCTTTTATTTCCTTCCCCATTCAGTGCTCTGACATCTACTACATGAATCATACTTTTTTTTTTTAATTGTGTGTGCTTCTTGGAAACTTTTTTTTAAAGATTTAGATACTACCTCTATATAGTGAACATTTAAGACATTTAAGGTGTTAATCTTCAGATATTCTTAGGTTGTATTATCTCATGCTTTTGTAGAATAAATTATGATGAGTATCTAAGTTTATTTCATCTCATTTTTCCTTTTACACTGTATCCCATTTTAATTCCAGAAAAGTCTTGGATTCTCTCCTTGATGTGAGGAATTTATTCCATGATTTTTGGCTGCTTAATTTCATTTATAATTCATGATTGTTAACTTTCAAAAAAGTTTTAAGGCTGCTAACTTTATTGTCTTATATAATTCATAGAATTTGTTCTTCTATCTTCCCACCCTGCAATTCTGTTTTTGTTTTCTTTTTAATACTTAGGATTTACCTCAGTGGGTCCTTAAGTGGCAATTACCAAGTGTCAGACTTTGCCATTTATTAAACATGTCATGTACCAGGCATGTCACGTGTGTTGTATCACTTAAACCTAGTACAACTCTGTGAAGAAGAACTAGCCCTGCATTCTAAGCTAAGAACCTGGATCAGAAAGATTCACTTTCCCAGAGTCATATGAATGTATGTGGCAGAACCAAACTGGGATTTAAACTGGGTTTGACTCCAAAGCCTAAGGCCAGTGGTGTTGCTTCCTTCTTAATCAAGAGAGCAGTCATGGTTTTGTTTATTTTTTTAAGGTACCTCACATTGTATTTTGTCAAATTAAGAGAGTTTGAAATATTTTAATCTCATCTTAACTTTGAGAAGCCTATTGCTATTAACAAATATTTGCAAATAGTTTTTTAGTTTGTGGAAACCTTGAGTTTAATTTTTTTTTTTAACAGGATAGATGATAAATTGGAAACTTGTTTTAACTTTATAGAAGGAAAGCCATTTAAAAAGAACATTTTGAGAACTAAAGTTCAGCAGTTTTGTATTCCTTTGACACATAGTTCACTTGATAGAATTTGTTGAGTTGCTAAGATATGTCCGACTCTTTGTGGCCCAATGGACTGTAGCCCACCAGGCTCCTCTGTTCATGGGATTTCCCAGGCAAGAACACTGGAGTGGGTTGCCATTTCCTTCTCTAGGGGATCTTCCCAACCCAGGAATTGAACCCACATATACTGCATTGGCAGGCAAATTCTTTGACGCTGAGCCCCCAGGAGAGCCTACTTGATAGAATGTGTGTGTCTATTCAGTTGTGTCCAATTCTTTGCAACCCCTTGGATTGTAGTCCAGCAGATTCCTCTGTCCATTGAAACTTGATAAAATAGTTACTTGTAAGATGAAGCCAAGAAGCTATGTATGAGTGTGGTAACAACTATTTGCTAACTAGTTTAATATAGTAAATGCTCCACATTTTGCTTCTTTTCCAAATTTTAAGTTAACATTTTATCTTGGTCTAATTTTACATATTTTGAGTTTTAAAACTTGAAACTTTAATAAGAGATTTAACCAATGAAAACCATCAGTATAAGCTGATGTTCTTCAGAAACTGAAATAGCATCTGAGATACTGTGTTGTGATATGCCCATGTCTTCCTTTATTAGGAGCCATGATTCTTCTGTAAAACTCTGAATATTTCCTTCAAGTTCTAGAACTTTCCCAGTTGTTGTGATCATATTTGTGTCTACTGTTACTGAGTTATTAGGGGGATTAAATAAGTAAATCTATACGCAGCCCATAGAACACTTTGGCAAGTGCTAAGTATTCATCTAGCCTTAGCTGTTAATACCACAGTTGAAGTTTGTGTATATTTATGGGATTGATTTGAATCTCTGAACAGTGGTAAATTATATTTGTTTGTTCATAGTAGTTTAATGTAGAAGTTCAGTGGTCTGGCTTTGATGCTAGCTTTTCATGGTTTGGATTCTAGCTCTGCTAATTTCCACCCATGAAACCATGAGAGATTACTTCTCTGTGCCTCAATTTTTCTTCTCTGAAGTGGGAATACATATAATATCTACCACCACAAAGGGTAGGGATTGGTTGAGATAATGTGTGTAGCATGTTTACTGGCATGTAACATGTATGATACTGTTACATTACTATAGCTGCTGTATATAGGAGTATTTCCCTTAAGTTTTCCTTGTTTTAGTTTGTATCTTTAGAATATTCGCTTCTGGACAGCCTGAAGTTTTATGCTACTTCCTTGGAGGTAAACTAGTATATGGGGTCCTTTGTAGTTCTCAACAGCTCTGCACACTAGCAGAAACTTGGAACCCACCACCCCCTTAAAAAACGAAGAGGTAAGTTTTCTGCCAAGAGTACTGTTGGTCATAAAGAGATATTTTATAGTGAACTTGTATGTATATTTAAAATAGGTCCTCCCACTGGAATACCTGGCAGCTAAAATGGTGTGGTTGAATTTACACATTCAGATAATTTGTCTTTTTTCTCTTGAATATTTTCTTTACAGGGAACATTGAAAGGTTTTGACCAGACCATTAATTTGATACTGGATGAAAGCCATGAACGAGTGTTCAGCTCTTCACAGGGAGTAGAACAAGTGGTACTAGGGTTATACATCGTAAGAGGTGACAATGTGTAAGTAAAATATCTTTTTTAAGGCAAGTAGCTCAGACTGTAAAGGCATCCACCTGCAATGCAGGAGACCTGGGTTCAATCCCTGGGTCAGGAAGATCCCCTGGAGAAGGAAATGGGCACCCACTCCAGTATTCTTGCCTGGAGAATTCCATGGACAGAGGAGCCTGGTGGGCTACAGTCCATGGGGTCAAAAAGAATTGGACATGACTGAGTGACTAACACACAGCAGTATACAATAGGTACACTGCTTTGCTGTATGGAGAAGAGGTTTCCATCTACTGAGATCTGTCCATATTTCTAATAGTTAAATAGCCTGAATATGGTCCAGAAAGAGCCCTGCCTTAACACTGGATACTCCACTGGAGGAGGTTCTTAAAATGTTCTTCCAAAATATCCCTAATTCCAGAGGAACATAAATACACTTTCAGGCTAGAGCTTGAAAATGTCTTTGAAATCTCTTGTGTGAACAGTTTTAAATAATGCTTTATAACATAGATGAATTTTTCATTTTTTCTTTTAATTTTTAGTATAACTGGCACACTTAAGCTGTCCCATGTTTATGTCGTGGCCTCAGTTAACTTGTGACACTGATATGACAGTTTGAGAAGATATATTTTAGTGGTAACAGTATAAGAAAAGTGCAGCAGTGTAGAGCAGTACTGTCCAATACAATTTTAGGGGATGATGGAATGTTACATATCTGTTGTATATCTGGCATTGTCCACTATAGTAGGTACTAACCAAGCGTGTGGCCACTGGGTACTTGAAAAGTAGCTGGTGTGACAGAAGAACTGAATTTTAGATTTTACTTAATTGTACTTAATTTTAATAGTCACATGTGGCTAGATGCTACTGCATTAGTGCAGCTATAGAGACTGGAAGATTGCTGAATCACTTTACTAGTGAGCACTGTGTAAGGTTAAAACGTGGCTGGAAGGAAGCAAAAGATACATTAAGCATCTCAGATTACTTTGTAGGACAAGTAGAATATGGAAGAAAATCACCTTTAGATGGATAAATTATTTGATCTTTAGTCAAAACCAGAGGTTTATAAAATATCCTATAGAGATAATACTTAGGTGAAGTGAGCTGTAAAGAATGGCAGGTAGAGCCCAGGTCTCCTGACCAGAACACACTGTTGTATTGGGGCTCTGTATAATAACTGAGTTTAAGATGACTTCTCCTAGTTTAATTTTTAAAAATTTTCTCTTTTTTGAACTTCATTTTTAAAAAATTTTAAACATTGCTGTAGACCCAGTGATATGCTGGAGCCATCTTATACTGTTCACCAAAGCAGATTTTTATATTTTGGGAAATTTCGCAAGCTGAAATTGATGTCTTGTTGGTTTGGCTGTAGTAGGAGTATTTGCACTATGGATATTAGCCAACACTGCAAATCAGCCTACCCCTTTTCCTTGGAGAACTGGTTTTAAAACATTTTTCAGCACTCTACTCTTATCCATAAGGATTTTAAATGACACTAGATTTTTAAAGATGGAACTAAGGTCTTGATTTGTTTCATGTTGAGAAAACGGAACATATACTTTTACAGTTTGGTATTTCTCATTTATTAGAGAACTGAAGACTTTATATAGTTTAAAGCAAAATCAGGCAGATTCTGTGTAACATATTTATCTGTAGAATTTACTTTCATTAAAGCCAGACAAATTTGAACAACCAATCTTTTATGGGATAATGTTTCAAACGTGTCCCCTGGTCTGAATGTAACAATACCTATATCCAGCTAGAGATACTGGTTACCTAGCATGGCATTAATGAAATTAATGTTATACATATTATGTTACTGTTGAATCAAGTAAAAAATTTGCTGACTTTTAACCATAGTCAGTCACAAGTCATTCACATCAAAAATCATTTGTTAGATACCTAAATATCTGTTCTGTCATCTTTGTGTGGAAGAATTGCACTTCTTTTTGTTGTTCGATTTACACTGAGTAAATTGAGAAACTATGAAAGGGAAACTAATAGATATTACATTGATGGATTTAGTTCATTGAAGTTACTCAAATAATAGATACTTTTATTTGCTTGTTTAGTAGTGATTTTGTGATTCCTCCCCCAACCCCACCTCACCTCGCCCAGTCCCAGAATAGTCCTTCAGTTCAGTTCAGTCACTCAGTCGTGTCTGACTCTTTGCGACACCATGAACTGCAGCACACCAGACTTCCCTGTTCATCACCAACTCCTGGAGCTTGCTCAAACTCATGTCCATGGAGTCGGTGATGCCATCTAGCTATCTCATCCTCTGTCATCCCCTTCTCCAGTAGTCCCTGGATTCAGTGAAAATCAGAATTGAAATTCTGGGGTTTTATACCATTATCTATCCCATATGTTTTTTTTTTTTTTCCCCCTTAAAGACTTGTGACTTTCTTTTAAAAACTCTTTCCTTTAAAAACCACTCACATTATATGTAGTTTGCCCTTTAATATTTGTTCCTGTAACAATGTTGCCTTCAATTTGAGTTTTGTGACTTAAATGTACAATTCACTACCTTATGAAAATGTTTTTCACTTAACTAGTAGTTCTTTTTACTAGCTCATCTCAGTTTTAGTCAGAAATGAGATTGTTCTGATTTTTTTTTTCCTTAACAGTGCAGTCATTGGAGAAATTGATGAAGAGACAGATTCTGCACTTGATTTGGGGAATATTCGAGCAGAACCTTTGAACTCTGTAGCACACTGAGGAAAAACTACATTTATCGGACAGCTGTAAATCTTTGTACAGAAACTGATTATTCTGAGATTGATGGTCAGAATTTTTAGGAATGTGTAATGTGGATTTTTGACTCCATGTTGATTCATTGTAATATGATATGTAAATTAAAATGTTTCTACATTTTCTTGAAAAAAACTTTTTTTTGGCCTAAATAATACACTTGGTAGCTTGGTTTTATTTTTCTATTAAATATTAATAGTAAAGAAATCTAATGATTATTTTGAGAACTTTTAGAAAAAGATATTCTACTATTTTAATATTTATGGAAAATTAGTTGAAAAAAGAAATTCATGTACTATATAAATGAAACATACAAATAGTGCAGGATACATATGTTTTTTTCCCTGATTTTTTAAATCATGGAAAGGTAAATCTTGTCTTGTGCAGCTATCTGAACCATCCCCATTTATCACACTGCCCTGCTGGTTGCTCTGTAGCACTTTAGAAATGTGGGTAAAAGTGTGTTTGGTTGAGAAAAGGAAAAATGCTAACACAGTTGTATATATTACTTGACAAAAATTTATTCCATATAGTCTTAAAAACCATCTTACCTTTTAAGAATTGGGGAATTTCTAGTATTAAAGAAGTTTTTTTGTTATTTATAAATGTGAGTAAATGTATTTTGAGGCAGTACTTGCTATTATTGTCAACAGCTTTTCATGACTCCCTAGTTCCATAAACCTAGCTAAAAAAGAAGTAAACATGTTTTCTCCAAGCTTGTCAGGCCTATTCTTTGGTTGATTCTTGGAGTGAATCAATTAAATAGATAAATGTCCCTCCTTTGCTCAACTGGTTGTGTATACTTTTTAAAGGATCTCTAGAAACAGTGCTATAAGCAGTGTTTAGATACCCAAGTTAGTCCACAAAAATTCTCAAGTCATATAGGCCAAAGTGTGTAACTTTGTGATAAGAATAGAAAAATGTTTACTTTCTTGTAATTCAAAATTTCAGCAGTTTCTTTTTAATGAAAATATTTAAAGTAGAAGTTGGCGAGCCTTTTTTGTTAAGATGCAGGTAATATTTTAAACTTTGAGGGCCATATGGTCTCTGTCACAGTTACTTAAGTCTGTTGTTATAGCATGAAAATAGCCAAAGATAATATATAATAGATAATAGTTATAGCTGTGTTCTAATGTTCCAATAGAACTTTATTTACTGTAACAGGTGGCAAGCTGGATTTGACCTGTACACCACAGTTGTTGACCCTTAGCTCAAAATGAAAAATACAAGCTCAATAAGAAGAGATGATGACTGATTTGTATAAATTCTGGAAAGGATTTCTGGAATGGATCCTTTCAGAGTTCAGAGGTGGATTTTATTGTATTTTTTTTTGTAATATTGAAATCCCTACTTATTAGCCGTGGTAGTTCTTTCGGTTCACAAATAAAACATTTTCCAGAAGAAAATATCCACATTTTCACAAAACCAAGACCTGTAGGGAGAGAACTGTTAGATAGTTTTCTCCCTTGGTCATGAAGCACCAATACCCAGAATAACTTGGTTGATATTCTGATGTTCAGGGCTCTCTCTGGGAGGATTAGAGGAAGGTTAGCTAGTATTGGCTATCCATAGATATTTGACTCTTGTAGTATAAGGTTTTATAATCAATTTAGTTATAAAATGAAAACAGTGCAAAGTGGGTAAAGCAAATAGGCCACTTTAATTAGGGATTGTAAACCAGATGTTTTGTTTAAATAATGTATTTTAAATTGGTCAACTAATTCCAAAAGTCAGGGAAGGAATAAAGCTCATTCAGTTGCTAAGTAAAATGTATTCTAAGTATAAATGATGTCCAGAATCAGAGGCTTTCTCCACATACTTGACCTAACACAAATAACACACATACCACAATCCCTCTCTCTCATAGTAACAATTTTCCTCTATATGATGTGTCCTGGGGGCAGCAGGGAATGAGATGATTAGATATCATCACCGACTCAATGAACATGAGTTTGAGCAAACTCTGGGAGATAGTGAAGGATGGAGTCTGGTGTGCTGCAGTCTGTGGGGTCACAAAGAGTCAGACACAGTGACTGAACAGCAACAACCTTTTGAAATCTACAATGCCTCATAAGGATGTGTTTTCCTAATTGATGCCAGCATAATCATTCCCAAAATATAAATTGAATGTCTTTATTAATGGTAGGGGAAATGAATGAAAACACAAAAGGGTACATGTAATTCTTCATTCCTGGGTGCACGTGGTGGGCCTTTTATGCTCAACAAATTCAAGTTGGATTTCATTTTGCATGAGCATTGTAAGGGAGCCACAATTATGAGTGCCAACTTGATTAATGTGCAGTGTCAAGTCTTATATTCTTAAGTAAGACTATAATTTCTTTATAAAAAGCCTCAAATCAATTTAACCTGCAATTATCTCTGTGCTTTGTGACTTAGACTGTCTAAGCTGAGCTTAGTAATGAAGGAAATTCTAGGCAAGATATTTTCACTGAAGTTTTCTGTAAAGGGCAATTAACTGCAAAAAGAACTTGTTTTTTAACTGAAAAGATACCAACAGTTTAAAGCATAAAGGTAATCTTTTATTACTTGCTTTTTCTGATGTTCAGGGCTCTCTCTGGGAGGATTAGAGGAAGGTTAGCTAGTATTGGCTATCCATAGATATTTGACTCTTGTAGTATAAGGTTTTATAATCAATTTAGTTATAAAATGAAAACAGTGCAAAGTGGGTAAAGCAAATAGGCCACTTTAATTAGGGATTGTAAACCAGATGTTTTGTTTAAATAATGTATTTTAAATTGGTCAACTAATTCCAAAAGTCAGGGAAGGAATAAAGCTCATTCAGTTGCTAAGTAAAATGTATTCTAAGTATAAATGATGTCCAGAATCAGAGGCTTTCTCCACATACTTGACCTAACACAAATAACACACATACCACAATCCCTCTCTCTCATAGTAACAATTTTCCTCTATATGATGTGTCCTGGGGGCAGCAGGGAATGAGATGATTAGATATCATCACCGACTCAATGAACATGAGTTTGAGCAAACTCTGGGAGATAGTGAAGGATGGAGTCTGGTGTGCTGCAGTCTGTGGGGTCACAAAGAGTCAGACACAGTGACTGAACAGCAACAACCTTTTGAAATCTACAATGCCTCATAAGGATGTGTTTTCCTAATTGATGCCAGCATAATCATTCCCAAAATATAAATTGAATGTCTTTATTAATGGTAGGGGAAATGAATGAAAACACAAAAGGGTACATGTAATTCTTCATTCCTGGGTGCACGTGGTGGGCCTTTTATGCTCAACAAATTCAAGTTGGATTTCATTTTGCATGAGCATTGTAAGGGAGCCACAATTATGAGTGCCAACTTGATTAATGTGCAGTGTCAAGTCTTATATTCTTAAGTAAGACTATAATTTCTTTATAAAAAGCCTCAAATCAATTTAACCTGCAATTATCTCTGTGCTTTGTGACTTAGACTGTCTAAGCTGAGCTTAGTAATGAAGGAAATTCTAGGCAAGATATTTTCACTGAAGTTTTCTGTAAAGGGCAATTAACTGCAAAAAGAACTTGTTTTTTAACTGAAAAGATACCAACAGTTTAAAGCATAAAGGTAATCTTTTATTACTTGCTTTACTTAAATGTGTTTAGCACCTTTATAAAATTCCGGATTTTTAATCTAATGTGAAGTCGAAGTAAGACAAAAAAAACTTCTAAGTAGTCGTTACACAAATGTAGGCTGTCCATGTCAACATTTTTCTCAGATGTGTAACACGGAAGGTTTACCATGTAGATGAGAGTATACTGTCCCTTTATAATGTGAATGTACTTGTAGTCACAGGTAAGCAATCCTTAACTGGCAATATAGTGTATTCTGGGCCTTTGGAAATTAGTAGGGAGCATTTACTGAGTGCATAGCATGGACTAGGCGTGGTACCAAGTGCTTACATGATGGATCACTTTACATGTGGAGAAACAGACTCAACAGGGTTAAGTGTGTGAGGTCATACTTGTGATAGGCTTTTAATTGAAGCAGGTTTTTTGTACTCCTTATATAGCCTCTCAGCAGCAAGTATAATCTCAAAATCTCTGCTGTCTAGTATCTCTCAGAAGCCTGGAGGAAATAGAAATATTTCCTGGAGAAATAGAACTAAGGCAGTTCCCACGGCTGTGTGTGGACTATTTTCATTTGGTTACCTGAGATGCTTTAAGTACTCTTGGACCCTACTCTCACTGATTGTGGTTCAGTAGATCTGAAATGGGGCAAGAAAGAATACTTACTAAAAAGCTAAATCATGAAATTGTGGTGGAATTATAAGACCTCACACTTGTCATATGCCAGATGAATCCCCACTTATACCTCAGAGCCCTTACCTTGAAGACAGTGATAATACCTATCTTTTTCAGGATTGTGAAAAATGAAACTAGACTGCATTTAAAACACTTGGTATGATTTGCCAACTATAACAGTACACAACTATTCTAGGTATTCAAAGACCAATGTGGAAAAGTTATAAACATGGGTCTTATCACCTTAGTTTTTCAGTATAGGCTTTTAATTGAAGCAGGTTTTTTGTACTCCTTATATAGCCTCTCAGCAGCAAGTATAATCTCAAAATCTCTGCTGTCTAGTATCTCTCAGAAGCCTGGAGGAAATAGAAATATTTACTGGAGAAATAGAACTAAGGCAGTTCCCACGGCTGTGTGTGGACCATTTTCATTTGGTTACCTGAGATGCTTTAAGTACTCTTGGACCCTACTCTCACTGATTGTGGTTCAGTAGATCTGAAATGGGGCAAAAAAGAACACTTACTAAAAAGCTAAATCATGACATTGTGGTGGAATTAAAAGACCTCACACTTGTCATATGCCAGATGAATCCCCACTTATACCTCAGAGCCCTTACCTTGAAGACAGTGATAATACCTATCTTTTCCAGAATTGTGAAAAATGAAACTAGACTGCATTTAAAACACTTGGTATGATTTGCCAACTATAACAGTACACAACTATTCTAGGTATTCAAAGACCAATGTGGAAAAGTTATAAACATGGGTCTTATCACCTTAGTTTTTCAGAGTCCCATTGGCTATCATATCTCTATAATCAGTATATAAATTATGAGGATTTCAAGTTAAATAAATAATATATAATAAATTTAAATTATTTTAACATACAGGAAGATTGATTTGTTTTATGAGGAGCCCTATGCCAAAGGGCAAAGAAAACCTTTTCCATTTAATTGGATTTTTTGTTAGTTTGTTTTTCAAACCATTTTAAAAGCTATCTATTGATGTTTTATTATAGAATGTTGTAGCATGACTTAACAGCCTTGAAAATTTAACATACAGGTTAAAGTAAGACAATATAGACATTACTCCCAAAGTAGAAGCATGTGAAAATACAGAAAACAATATTAAATGTATATTAAGGTAAGAAAAAGACTTTTTAAATGCTCCAGTATTAGAGCAATATCAGTACACCTAAAAGGCACAAGAGTTATTTGTTGAGTAAATAAGTTAATGAGTGAAAACTATGTTTTTCTTAGGAAAGGATTTTTGAAAAACCACAGAAATTAACTCTATAGTGAGTAGCTTGATGACTAAAACTACATTTATTCCATGCTTCTATTTTTGACATCTAATAAAATGCCTCATTTATGTAAGGGCATTTTATAAATTTATAAGTTTTAAACTAAACTACAAAATTTAAACTAATGGTGGCCTCATACAGTTGTTCAGGTCATGCACTACACAAGTTACCACCTTTAAGGGGAACCGTTTTCATTGCAGCATTTTTGCTTTTGTGACATATTTTTCTACTTCTATCAAAATTCTGAGTTAGGTCCAGAGATAGGCTATTTGTAAACTATTATACAAATATAACTCCTCTGGCTGATGGCAATTAAGTATCTTGTTCTAACAAAATTAGTAAACATGGACTGGATCAGACATGACTGAGTGACTCAACTACCACCATGGACTGGATGGTTATGTCCCTCCAAAATTCATGTGTTGAAACCCTAATTTCAATGTGATGGTATTTGAAGATGGGAACTTTGAGGAGTAATTAAATCATAGGCGCCCTCATGAATGGATTTAGTGCTCTTACATGAAAAGCCAAAGATAGCTTCCTCTTTCTGCCACATAAGGACATAACAAATAAACCAGAAAGGGCTCTCACCAAGAACCGGCTCCTGCAGGTGCTCTGATCTTAGACTTCCAGCCTCTGGAATTGTTCTAACAAAAGTATTTTCTTCTAAGAGGAGC